AGTCTGTTGTCAGTGGGCGGGAGTTTGCCATTTGCTGTGCTCACGGGCTGTGCTCACTTGCATACTGCTTCTCACACTGTGAACTCGATTTCCCACCCACCCACCCGATAGTGTTTCCCACTTGCCTGCGGTGGCGCCGGCTGCTTGCCGGGTTTTTGTTTTCAGGCTGCTTGCCTGTGCTTGCTGGCTGCTTGCCGGTCTACCTCCGGCTGTTTTTTGCCAGTCCCATGGGCTGCCTGCCTGCTCCCCCCCCCTCTGGCTGTTTGCTCGATCTCGGGCTATTGTCCGCTCCCTGTGCGGCTGCTTGCCGGGTGTTCGGCTGCTTGCCGAGGTGTGTATCTGTGCATCAGCATATTTAATTTTTGTGATTTGTTCGTCTGCTTGTACGTGCGTTTGTCCCCTCACCATTAGTCCTTTTGTCTGTCTGTGAAGTGCTTATTCTCTGTTGTATGTGTCCTTGGCACAGTGTAAATGGTGGGGGTAGTCCTTTTTGTCATCCTTGCTAGCAATGTCCGTGTTGTGTTCGTTATTTGCATTATGCCGCACCCGCTCGTCGGGCTTGCTCTCCGGCTAGTCCGGGTGATTTCTTTTAGATTGGTATCCTGCGTTATCCAGCGTTTTTTTTTTTGGTTTCCCTTTGGTCGGTAGGTGCATATAGTTCGTTGTGGTCGGCTTTGTATGCTTACCAGGTAAGATATCTTGTACGTTCATGTTACTATTTTATTTAATTCCGTTTCCACCTGTGGTGTGACGTTAGCTCTGTCCTTGGAGAGGCTAATTCTCGGCATCATTGATATCAGTCAAGTCGGGATGCTGGGATGGCTGAAAGTCTCTTCTACCGAGAAGACAGCTGCGCAGAATGGAGTTCATCGTAAGCCGGCTTGCCGAGTAAACTAAGCAGCCGGAACCTCTCCAACAGAGCTACACCCTCCAACAGAATTGCTTGCTTAAGCTCGAGTGCGTTAGATGTTAAATTAGCTATAAACAAACTTCTCAATAGCCTATATTAGGTTGTTTTGTAGAAATTTAGTCTCACTGGATCATTTGCTCTTGGAATGTTGTTTTGTATAGTGATTATGAATATGCCTGCTGTCAGCTAAAAGTAACAATCTTTCATAAATGTGTTCCCAGAATGCTAGTAGTGCCATTCGAGGGGTCCGACACGGCTGAAATCTCGTACACTCGACTCAGAAATCCACTGAAATCAAACCCAAAATCAAGAAATCACAAGAGAAATTAGTCAATTTTGAAATCAGAAATCACTAAAACTTCGTTAACATCTAACGCACTCGAGCTTAAGCAAGCAATTCTTTGGAGGGTGTAGCTCTGTTGGAGGTTCCGGCTGCTTAGTTTACTCGGCAAGCCGGCTTACGATGAACTCCATTCTGCGCAGCTGTCTTCTCGGGAGAAGAGACTTTCAGCCATCCCAGCATCCCGACTTGACTAATATCAATGATGCCGAGAATTAGCCTCTCCAAGGACAGAGCTAACGTCACACCACAGGTGGAAACGGAATTAATAAATAAAATAGTAACATGAACGTA